ACTGGACACTGCCTCCACATCTTCCCCTTCTATTTCCCAGGAGGTGATGGGACCAGTGGCCATGATCTTAGTTTTTTTTATGTTGAGTTTCAGACTGTTTTTTGCACTCTCCTCTTTCACTCTCATTACAAGGTTCTTTAATTCCTCCTCACTTTCTGCCATCAGAGTGGTATCATCTGCATATCGGAGGTTGTTGATATTTCTTCCGGCAATCTTAATTCCGGCTTGGGTTTCTTCCAGTCCAGCCTTCCGCATGATGTATTCTGCATATAAGTTAAATAAGCTGGGGGACAATATACAGCCTTGCCGTACTCCTTTCCCAATTTTGAACCACTCAGTTGTTCCATGACCAGTTCTGACTGTTGCTTCCTGTCCCACATATAGGTTTCTCAGGAGATGGATAAGGTGGTCAGGCACTCCCATTTCTTTAAGAACTTGCCATAGTTTGCTGTGGTTCACACAGTCAAAGGCTTTCGCATAGTCAATGCAGCAGAAGTAGATATTTTTCTGGAACTCTCTGGCTTTCTCCATAATCCAGCGCAAGTTAGCAATTTGGTCTCGAGTTCCTCTGCCTCTTCGGAATCCAGCTTGTACTTCTGGGAGTTCTCGGTCCACATACTGCTGAAGCCTACCTTGTAGGATTTTGAGCATAACCTTGCTAGCGTGCGAAATGAGTGCAATTGTAGGGTAGTTGGAGCATTCTTTGGCACTGCCTTTCTTTGGTATTGGGATGTAGACTGATCTTTTCCAGTCCTCTGGCCACTGTTCAGTTTTCCAAACTTGCTGGCATATTGAATGTAGCACCTTAGCAGCATCATCTTTCAAGATTTTAAATAGTTCAACTGGAATGCCATCACCTCCATTGGCCTTGTTGTTAGCCAGGCTTTCTAAGGCCCACTTGACTTCGCTCTCCAGGATGTCTGGCTCAAGGTCAGCAACTACATTGTCTGGGTTGTACGGGATATCCAAATCTTTCTGATATAATTCCTCTGTGTATTCTTGCCACCTCTTCTTGACGTCTTCTGCTTCTGTTAGGTCCCTCCCATTTTTGTCTTTTATCATGTTCATCTTTGCGCAAAATGTTCCTCTAATATCTCCAATTTTCCTGAACAGATCTCTGGTCTTTCCTTTTCTGTTATCTTCCTCTATTTCTTTGCATTGTTCATTTAAGAAGGCCCTCTTGTCTCTCTTTGCTATTCTTGGGAAGTCTGCATTCAATTTTCTGTAACTTTCCCTATCTCCCTTGCATTGTTCTTAGAGATTGTTCATAGAGATTGTTCAAAAACACACAGAAAACATCGTTTTGCCCTTATTGCACAAAGGAACCACACTTTCTTATCATGGCAGTGCTAAGTCCTTGAAAACCCTGTTAAGGTAGCCATGATTCAGAAGTTCCTAGAGAACACATAACAACAACAAAAATTTAAGGTTAGGTCAAATTATGTTGGGGGGAAAAAGAGAAGGGTTTCTTAGTTTAAAATGTACATTGCATATTTTTCACTTAGGTCAGCTATGGCTCTTTTGAAGAAGCCCTGAGTGACAACATTCAGTTCCCCTTCTTGTATCGGATGACCCCCAACGAAGAACCACAGTATGTCGGGATTGTTTCCCTACTCCAGTATTTTGGATGGAACTGGGTTGGCCTCATTGTTCCAGACGATAACAATGGAGAAACCTTCCTTAGAACGTTGACACCAAAGCTATTTGAGAGTCATATTTGCATCGTTTGGACCATGATGATCCCAAGAGTATCTGTGCACTTACCGAAATGAACTACTACTTCAAAAAGTGCGACCCATTCTGTCGACTTTCCGAGTGATTGAAATCAATGTGATTCTTGTGCATGGAGACAAGCAGTCTTTGGAGGCATTATACCTCACTCTATTCTACTTTGAACAGTTTGAGAGACCACCACAAAGCAGGGTGTGGGTGACGACGGCTCAGTGGGATTACACATCTTTGCCGACTGGGTTAAAACTGGCCTCAGAGTCACTCAATGGAACCTTGTCATTTGCCCTCCACACAAATGTGGTGCCAGGATTTCAGGACTTTCTGGAGAACATCAGTCCTTTTCACTCCAACATTTATCTTCTTCCTGAGTTCTGGTTCACAGTATTCAGCTGCTCATTACCAATGCATAACCTGCATTATCGAGATGCAAACAACTGCACCGGGCAGGAGAAGCTCTCAGGACTTCCTGGATCTGTCTTTGAAATGGGAATGAGTGGCCACAGCTACAGTGTCTACAATGCTGTTTATTTTGTAGCACATGCCTTGCACACCATTTATTCCTTGAGAGGCTTACAGAAAGGAAGGAGAGATGGAGACAAGCAGGATCCTTGGAATATTCATCCGTGGCAGGTAATCACATGGAAAACCAAGTTGAGGCTCGTATATATATCCAGGTAAACCAAAAGGCTATAGGACCTCCAATTTTGTGGAACAGGATAGAAAAGTGAGGTCTTGCCTCATTACTCAAAGGGCAGAAAGAGAAAGATTGACTTCATGAATTGATCCAATCTTATCCTACAGTCTCTTAAGCTGAGGGCTATCACTGCTGAGTGATGAACGGAATGAAAAATGAAGTCATTAGTACACAAGTGGATATTTTTGGCCCTCCATTTCAATATGTCTGTGTTTTTCCACCCTTCTCAAGGAAGCTGATCTTCACCTTTTTTACTTTCACGAGATTAAGAGAATGTTTTGCACACTTGAGTACATCGGCCATTGTGGTTTGCCTGGAACATTTCTGAATGTTCAGACTGTACAGAGCTTTGGCATGTTTCTCTCTGATTAAAACTGTAAACCTTTTATTTCTCTAATACAGCTTCACTCAGTTCTAACATCTCTCCATTTTAACAATAATGCTGGAGAAGAAATATTTTTGGACGAGAAGCGGGAACTGGCAGCTGGATTTGACATCAACAACTTCTTCGTCTTTCCCAACAGGTCCTTCCAGAAAGTCCAAGTTGGACACGTGGACCCCCTGACCTTTGAAGGCAAACAGTTCGCTATCAATGGGAGTGCCATTGTGTGGAATCAGAAGTTCCATCAGGTGGGGATGCTTATTCCTAGCATTAATGAACTGATTTAGCTGCACCAATTTAGACTGAGTTAGGTGTCGGCTGTATTTTGTTCCATGAGGAAAGGGCCTTGTGTAGGCAAATATTTCTCTTGGCACCATCTCCCTAACATCCTTTACCCTGTTCCATGCCAAACCTACCACTTCGGAGAAACCATAGAAGTATTTTGTCAACCATGATGTAGATATTATACTCACAATTATTTCGTGATCGACTGAGAAATGATTATCACATAAAAGAGGAAGTACGTAAATTCTACGTATTCTCGAAAGGCTTAGGATGAAAAAACTTCAGAACATGGCCAAAGAGCCCGAAAAACCCGCAACAACTACGTAAATTCGATTCTTTTATTTTTTTTTCCATCTCTGTGAATGATAGTAAACAGAAGAGGAAATCCCATATACCATCTTAACTTTGGTGCCAATACGATTCTTGATGGCTTTACTGATTAAAGCCTGTCATGGTTTTTCTGCTAGGTGTTGCAAGTAATATCAAGAATTTCCTGTGTCACAAAATCTGATTTAAGGAGGTTCCTCTCTAAATACTCAGCCACTCTACCCTAGTCTAATACTCACACATAAGCATAGGATCTGCATAGTTCTAAAGGATTGACTTCCAGGCACTGCAAAACAGGACAGCAAGTGAGCATATCACCTCCTGAGAGGTAAACTAAGCCAACTAAAGAAAATTCTAAATTCCCTTAAAGACATGTCAGATGGTTTGCCAATCAAGCTTTAAATTACTTTGAATGTTCATGAAGAGAAGAACATTTTGTGCCCCCTCCCTTTACATAGCTGAGATCATTGCCTAATTAATGCAGGACCAAGGAACAAACTGACTTTGCCTTCCAAACTGCCCTCACAAGAGATAAAGTCCAGGTATTACTCCTTCCTTTTACCTGAGCAGACACTGCTGCCACAATGCTTGCCAGCTTTTCCCAGACACTCACAGAGAAGACTGATTTTTCCAGATGGATTCCATATTTCCCTAACTGCTCAGGTTCTGTATATTCTAGTATTTTGAATCATGTACAGAAAAGCTAATTTCTCACATTCCTTCATAAGGATTGAATCTCCTAGCTCATTCAAACTCAGGTGTAATATTGGGGGATGTAGGAATGTTTTTCGAAAACAGAAAGTGGATTTATAAAAAGTACTTTCCCAACCTCCTTCAAATGTGGCACAGATCAAATCCAAACTATGAGCAATCACTTGGCAACACGCAGATGACGTTCAGGAATCTCCTGAATGCTAAAGCCTTGCTTGGAATGTCCCCGCCTATCAGAAAAGGCTAACAGAATGTTGATTTGACTCACTAAGGAAAATCAAAGACGCACTTCTTCTGAGATTGTAATATTTCTCATTCCATGTAGGGTATTTAAGTGTCACCTCTGTACATCTTTATGCCCACTTTTTAATGTGTCAACACCAAAATTGGAGGGGTTTTGTTCAATGTTTTAATTTATATCATCATTGAAATTTAGTTTATGTTCATCTGATGTTCTGATTGTTAGCTACTCAAAATATTGCTCTGGTCACTAAGGGCACAACGTAAAGATTGAAATATAGGAAATGAAATGAAATCTTGTTGCAGAACTTTATATCACTGAACTTGAATCTTGTGATCAATCACAGCTGTTTGGGGGTTATTAAGAGATATTGATTCCCCTCGCTACAAGGTTCCAGTGATCTAGAGTAATCCCCTTCATTCTAGGGAGGCCTTTGATAGCCACAGAATGCAGGTGAAGGGGACTCTTTAATATCTGAAAGTGGCAACCACCAACCTTGGCAGCAATGGAATGCTGGCGAATATATTGTGATCACTGTCGTTTGTCATAGTGGTGGTTGTGGTGGTGTGTGTCCCTACCTAGAAGCTAAAAAGCATCTGTAAAGCTTTGTCAGTCGTAACGAAATGTGGCACCTTCTGAACACCTTTCTTTCTCATTGGAAGGTGCCCAGATCCACCTGTGTTGAGAGTTGCCGTCCCAGGCACAACATGTTCGTCCAGCCAGGGAAGCAAGTGTGTTGCTATGATTGTGTGGAATGCCCCGAAGGGAGGATTTCAACCCAGATGGGTAAGTGAAGGATTGTAGTTTGTGGACTTTCAGGTGAAGGTCCCTCTTTCTCTTCTCTTGGTACCAAAACAGGAATGCATTGCTTCAATCCAAAGAACATTGTGAAAAAGGAATGAATTCTACTATTTAAAAACTAAATTGAAGTCCATTATTTCTTTACAGTTTTTGGTCAATTGAAGATGAAAATGAAAATGTTTTTTGCATTCTGCAAACAGTAGGACCTTTCTTTCTTTTCTCCAGATGCAGCCCAATGTGAGCCGTGCCCTGAAGACCACTATCCAAACGAGAACAAAGATTGGTGTATTCCTAAAGGCATAAGTTATCTATCTTATGGTGAACCATTGGGAGCACTTCTGGTGTCTTTTGCTCTTTTCCTGAGTGGGAACACATTTGTGGTGATGGGAATATTCCTGCTCTACCACCGCACTCCCATGGTCAAGGCCAATAACTGGGGAATCACCTGGGCTCTCCTCTCCTCTCTGCTCCTCTGTTTTCTCTGTTCCTTCCTCTTCATTGGGTGGCCTGGGAAGATAACCTGCCTTCTGAGACAGATGGTGTTTGGTGTCATCTTTTCTGTGTCTGTCGCTTGTGTCTTAGCCAAAACCTTGACTGTGATTTTGGCCTTTATGGCCACCAAGCCTGGAAGCCAGATGAGGAGATGGCTTGGGAATAGACTTGCTCTGTCAGTCATCATCTTCCCTTCTCTGATTCAAACTGCCATTTGCACTGTATGGTTGGCCATTTCTCCCCCATATCCAGAATCTGACATGCATTCCCAGAGTGACACCATCGCACTTCAATGCAACCAAGGTTCAGATATCATGTTCTACCTTGTCCTGGGCTTCATGGGACTGTTGGCCATCATCAGCTTCACAGTGGCTTTCTTTGCCCGGAAGTTGCCCGACTCATTCAATGAAGCCAAGCTGATCACATTCAGCATGTTGGTCTTCTGCAGCATATGGTTATCTTTTGTGCCAGCCTACCTGGGCACCAAAGGGAAATACACAGTGGCTGTGGAGGTCTTCTCCATCTTGACCTCTAGTGGTGGGTTGTTGTGTTGCCTTTTCTTCCCTAAATGCTACATCATGATTTTCAGGCCTGAACTAAACACCCGAGAGCAATTAGTAAGCAAAAGAAGTGGCAGTAATTTAGGGGTCAGGAATGACAGCCTCTGAGTATACAGTACAGCTAAGAAGGAGATGAAGTTCTGTCAAGAACTAGAAGCAGAAAAGGGGAGATGTGTCAGAGTATAGAAATTTTATAAGCCTGAACCTGTATATGTGTTTCATTAACGAGCTGCCATTGTGCACAGATGTGAGAATGCTGAATCACTCTGGAGCTGATGCAGTGACTTCAAACCAGGAGAAGATCAGGTGCAAAAGGATGAAGTCACCTGCATTCTGATTGGACTGAACAAAGCCATGTACATGTATATAAGTGGACTGTGTCTTTGCTTCTCTCTCTTCCTCCACTATCACTTGCTGCCATGCATGCTGCCAGATTGTACAAAGAGTTCCTGCCTTGCTGTTAAGATACCTGCCTGTATATAACTGTAAATACTTGTAAATACAACCGTCTTGCAACAAAAGAATAACTCTGCATTTTCTACTGTCGCCAAAACCATGACAAGATGTGTATTCAGTCCATTTTTTTTCAAATATTTTTCCCACATGTTGCTCCTTATAAAGGATCCATGGCAGGTTACATCATTAAACAAAACTTTTTTAAGTGAAAAAGGTCTTTTCCTGCTTGTGGAAATATAGCAAAGGTGGCCTTAGCCTACCTTGTCCTGGAACAGAAAGTCTAGGAGCACGGAGAGAGAAGGGCCTCTCCTGTGTGCCCAATAAATGGTCTGCTAAAGATGGTATGACTGGGAGAAAAGCCTCCACTGATTATCTTAACAGCCTACTTACTTTCTTACTTAATAGTAGGCTCAAAAGGGTCATTATAAGTCAGAATTGACTTGACATCACATCACAATGATGATGTTGATAATGATGATGAGGATGATACCACCCAATTTGTTTTGCACACTACTCTGGGCAGTTTACAATCAAAGGAAATTCAGTCCATGATATTTATTTATTCATTTATTTATTTAAGTATTTATGTATTTATGCATTTATTTATTTATTTAAGACACTTAAATCCAATGACCCCTGAAAACAAAATTCAATTCCAAGAAAATGAAATGCCCCCCAAAAGTAACATTTAATAATTTACTTGCAAGCGAATTTTAAGACGCAAAAAGAAATACAGTGTAAAAAGGGCATAAAAACAAACCGCAATGCAGGAACTAAAAATTTCAAGACAAAAACTCTGAAACTAAATTAAGATTGGAGGAAAATATATATTCATGCACACTTGTTATTATATATATAATAACAATTCATCAGTTCAACAAAAATTCTCAAAATATAATCTAATAAATTTAGCATAAAACCTAGAAGTTAAACCTAAGCGATGGCAGGACAGAAGGCATAAATGTGTCATCGCTCAAGGGAGAATGTCCTTAAAAGCTTCTGTGAGCAGCTTTCTCTTCAGCATGCTCTCCAAAGCTGGGTGGGAGGGGGACTGGCACAGCTCTGCTGGACACCCATTCCCTAAGGATCTTTTATCTGGATCTTTTATCTGATTATTCATCTGGCAGTTAGATATCTTCCAAGGTATTTAACTTTTTAAACTATTTGTAGAACTGACGTCTCTGAGACTTGATTTTTTTTCGGTTTTGCAGTTAAATTTTTCACTATAACTTTGCTTTATTCTTTGTTTATCTTCAGTCCTGCTACTTACCCAAATTCATCAGTTTACTCCAGTGGTCTCAATGTTGTTTCCAAAAGATCTTCCAAAATAAACACAAAGTCATCTGCAAATGCTTGTAATTTGTAATTCCCTTCCTTTATTTTGGTTCCTTTAATTTCTGGATCAATCATTACATTCCTATTTAATACTTCCAAAGTGAATATGAATAACAATGGAGAGAGCAGACATCCCTGTCTAATGCCTTTTTAATATTAATATTATCCATCAAGTCACCATTTACAATTACGTTAGCTATTTGTTCATTATAGATTGTTTCACATTTATGAAGTTTTTTCCAAACTCCATAGCTTTTATTAGCTGTAGCATAAATTGCCAGTTCAGATTATCAAATGCTTTTTCGGGTATCCAGAAAGTTTAGTGCTGTTTGTTTCTCTGCATCAACCTCATAATATTCTAATATGTCTAAGATTATCCTTGTACCTTTGGCAAAAATTCATTTTGGTCTGAATGGATGAACTCCATTAAGAATTTTTTCAATCTTTCCGCTATATTTACTGAAAAGATTTTATAATCCATACTCAATAATAATATTGACCTAAATTTTTTTTATATGTGTAGAATCCGTGTCTCCTTTTGGTATTAGGGTGATGTATGCCTCTAGCCATGTCTTGGGTATTTTACCTTCTAATAGAACTTCGTTGCAAACCTCTTTGATTGGTTGGCTTAATATATCTTGGAAGAATTTATAGAATTCCACTGGGAATCTGTCTGTTCCTGCGGGTCTTATCTTTTTTTGTTTGTTTGTTTTTTAATGGCTTCTACTACTTCTATCATTGCTATTTTCTCATTTAGGAGATCTTTAATGTTTTCTGGTACTTAAGGGAGGATTGCTTTTTCTATATGTTGTATTGTTTTTTCAAGGAAAAATTCTTGGGTATAATATAGATTAGCATAATTTTCTTTAGTTTTTTATTTTCTCTTTTTGATATTGTAAGTCTCCATTTTCATCTTGTAGCTTCCTTATTCATCTTTTTTTTTCTTTTTTCAACCTACTGGATAGCCATCTTCCAGATTTGTTGGCATTCTCAAAAAAATTTTGTTTAGCCCTTTTAACTTCTTGAGCTAATTCTTCTGATTCTATTAAGTTTAATTTATGTTTCACTATCTCCATCTGGTTTTTAAGTATATTCTTCTGCAGTTCTTCTAGTTCTAGCTCCAGTTTCTTAAACCCTTCAGGTTTGTAAGTTGTTGGTTTTTATCCTTATTCCTTTTAGCTATATATGACATGGAGAATCCTCTCAAATATGCTTTAGCTGTATCTGAAATCATTTGCAGGGATGTTTCCTCTTTTTTATTTTCTTTAAAGAAGAATTCCATTTCTTTTTTTCATTCTTTCCACAAATTCTTTATCCTTCAATATTCCCTGGTTTAAGGTCAATCTTTTCTCTTTTTTCCTCCTTTCCACCACATTTTCACTGGATTATGATCTGCCCAGATTTCTTTTTCTACTTCCTGTATTTCGGTTTTGAATTCTGAGGAAAGCCAGATCATATCTATTCTCAACCAGGATTTATGCCTGTTTCAGTAGAAGGTAAATTGAGAGCTTTTAGTATTTGTTTTTCTCTATATATCTTGTTGTCTAGTTATTCTGCCATCTGAAAGAAAATAGTTGGAAGTCTTTTCCTTCCCTTTTCACTTTTTTTACCAACTTTGTAGTCAAATCTCTTGTCTACAATTGCATTAAAGTCTCCTAATACGCAAATATCCTCTTCATGGATGGCTTCCTTATTGTGGCGAAGGGGCTTGAGTAACTAAGAGAAGCTATGGGCAATGCAGTGCAGGGACACCCAAGATGGACAGGTCATAGTGGAGAGTTCCAACTAAATGCAATCCACCTGGAGTAGGAATTGGTAAGCCACTCCAGTGTCTTTGCCAAGAATACCCCATGAACAGAAACAAAAGGCTAAAAGATATGACACTGGAAGATGAGCCCCTCAGGTCAGAAGGCATCCACCATGTTACTGAGGAAGAGCGGCGGACAAGGACAAGTAGCTCCAGAGATAATGAAGTGGTTGTGCCAAAGCCGAAAGTACACGCAGCTGTGGACGTGCCTATAAGTGCAACGAAACTCCGATGCTGCAAAGAAAAATACTGCGTAGGAATCTGGAATGTAAGATCTATGAACCTCGGGAAGCTGGATGTGGTCAAACAGGAGATGGCAAGAATAAAAATTGGCATCCTGGGCATCAGTGAACTAAAATAGACAGGAATAGGCTAATTCAATTCAGATAATTATCATATCTACTATTGTGGGCAAGAATCCTGCAGAAGGAATGGAGCAGCCCTCATAGCCAACAAAAGAGTGGGAAAAGCTGTACTGGGATACAATCTCAAAAATGATAATATGAAGAAAATATGAATCCAAGGCAGACATTTCAACATCATAATAATCCAAGTTTATACATAAACCACCAATGTTGAGAAGACTGAAATTAACCAATTTTATGAAGACTTACAACACCTTCTAGAATCAACACAAAAGGAAAATGTTCTTCTCATTCTAGGGCATTGTCATGCCAAAGTAGGGAGTCAAGAGATGAAAGGAACAAGGGGTATGTTTGGCCTTGGAGTTCTCTGCAGCCAAAGATGGAGAAGCTCTAGACAGTCAGAAAAAACAAGACCTGGAGCTGATTGTGGCTCTCCTCATCAGCTTCTCATAGCAAAATTCAAGCTTAAACTGAAGAGTAGGAAAAACCACTAGGTTCATCGTCGTTTAGTTGCTTAGTCGTTTAATCGTGTACGACTCTTCGTGACCCCATGGACCAGAGCATGCCAGGCCCTCCTATCTTCCACTGCCTCCCGGAATTCGGTCAATTTCATGTTGGTTGCTTCGCAGACACTGTCCAGCCATCTCATCCTCTGTCGTCCCCTTCTCCTCTTGCCATCACACTTTCCTAACATCAAGGTCTTTTCCAAGGAGTCTTCTCTTCTCATGAGATGGCCAAAGTACTGGAGCCTCAGCTTCAGGATCTGTCCTTCCAGTGAGCACTCAGGGTTGATTTCCTTTAGAACTGATAGGTATGTTCTCCTTGCAGTCCAGGGGACTCTCAAGAGCCTTCTCCAGCACCACAATACAAAGGCATCAATTCTTCCGTGTTCTGCTTTCTTTATGGTCCATCTCTCACATCCATACATCACGACAGGAAAAACCATAGCTTTGACTATTTGGACATTTGTTGGCAAGGTGATGTCTCTGCTTTTTAAGATGCTGTCAAGGTTTGTCATCGCTTTCCTCCCAAGAAGCA